TTTTTCCCCTTATAAAAAACATTAACTTCGAAAAAAGTAAAGGAGAAATTTTAAAATTTACAAAAAAAAAATAAAAAATAGCCCAATTTAAATTAAACTAAAACTCAAATGTAACAATATATATATATATATATATATATATATATGTATATGTTTATGGATTTTAAAAATACATATACTTTATGATATGGAGTAAAAAATTTCAATTTTTGTATTCTCGAGAATCCAATTTAAGTTAGTATTATATTTTAAGTAAATCTTATTAATTAGTCTCCGTTTCTAGAACCTTTCCTCTAGATTTGTTAGAAACATATTATTTTAAATAAATAATTTTTTTAAATACAGCGTAATGTTTAAAATTATATAGACATATTATAATATAAATTTGATGTAAAGCATATTAAGAAACGCTTTTATACAAAAAGAAAGAGTATATCAAGATAAGTTAAAAATCTCGTATTAATATTTTGGTCTCAGGCATTTTTAGTTCTTTTTTAATTTTTGTCTTTCTATTTAGAACTTTAATTCATTTTTTTTATCTTTGTAGTTTTAAAATATTCGTTTGATCTATGCACTTTTAAAAAGGGATAATTTTTATTCCTATTTGCAAAAAAATTAATACAAATTTTATACACAATGAGAAATTGTTTAATATAATAAAGATACTATTACATTTTAAAAAATATATTGAAGGTAGGGTCGTGTTAAAATTATGATAGAAAAAACGAGATTAAAAGTTAAAATAAGAAATCAAAATATTCATTTTAAAAGAGTTAAGGAACCAAACGAACATTTCAAAATTATAAAAATTAAAATGAAGTATTTAATATCAAGTAACATTGCATTTCAAAAATATATTGATTGCTGTTTTGTGTTAAAATTAAGAATAGAAAAAATAAAATGAAAAATCAAAATAGGGAATTAAAATGATAATTTTTAAAAATACAACTATCAAAATGTAGAGCTATAGTGACTAAAATTGAAAATAGTATTTTTAAACTTATATTTATAGCATTTTTATTACAAGGAATATATAAATTAACTTTCAAAATAGTTTAAAGGCGCGGAAAGAATTAGAAGAGAGATGAGATGAACGGCAAACCTAAGAGCGGAACGATAAGAACATGGGAATCGGGATGATGAAGCCAATCAAATCGAGGCTCAAAATCCTGGTAACTTTTTCCCGAAGAATTCATCGCCGTCGCCTTCGCAGGTAAATTCCAATTTCTCCTCCTGTTCACGGCGATTTCGATCGATGTCTTTGGTTGCCTCTGTCTGCGATTTTTATATCGAATGAATCGTTTGCGATCTTGATTCGAAGTCTGGAGTTGAATTTGCGATCGCAAATAGGAATTTCTTTAGGATTAGTAATTCCTCGATTGAAGCTTTCTTTGTTTGAGGCCGAGGGTTTTTGATCACTTCGTCCATTGGTAAAGTGAAGATTCTTTGTTTGTTTATTTCTGAAGTGGAGAATCTTTCTGTATGAACACTGCTGGATTAAAATTATTAATCCTCCTTATGAGCAGAGCCACTCTTTGTTCACAATTGGTGCAAGAAACTGAAAATTCCACTGTGTGATCCATTTTTTAAGCTTCAACTCTTCTGTAGTAAAGGTGAATTTTTATTTTTATTTATTTATTTATTTTATTGTTATTATTTTCTTTTTGTCTAAGTTTGACTAAGGATTCATATATATTTGAGAGGATCGCAGTGTAGAGTTGTTAAGAATTCAAACATGTTTTTTAGGAAAAAAAAAAAGCTCAGTAAGGATAAGTATAATATTTTAAGACCTAAGTAAAAAAACGGGACTCTCTTGATTTTAGCTTTTTATT